AGCTCGAGGCTTGTGAATCATGCTCTCCTCGAACATGGAATAAACAAGAGAGAAGCGAGAGAAACGAGAATTTTCATCGTAGACGCTTGCATCGCTGCGATTACCTAAAAGATAAAGGATTATTAGCAAATATTTAAATAAATCTTAACGAATGTGTACAGGTTATTAAAAAGGCCAAAATTAAAATTTTTGAATATTTTTATAGTGATACAAGTACAGGATGTCCCAGAAAGAGTGTTAATCCTTTAATGGGGTAGTAACCGGGGTAATTCTGAACAATATTTTCCTTTGCGAAAATGTTGTTTGAAGCTTCGTTTTTGAATTATTAAGGAAAAACACTGGCTACGAAAAGTGGGCTTGACCTGAGTCCCGAACGAACACTTTCGGCACCCTGCCGGTATAGCAGGAGACGCTGGAAAAATAAATGAATCGAACCAATTGAATTTTTATTGTTGCTAACTTGTTTGATTAAAATGAATACACAATTTAATCTCTTGTTGTCTGTCATAAAAACGTAGAAAGTGAAATTCTAAGCATTCTAAGCAACAAATAAAAATGATTGAAACGGAATAAACGGATATTTGATAAGAATATCAATGTTATCAATTCTACATGATATCATAATGAGCCGAATATCAGGCGATATTACGAAAACCTTTTTGATTGGTTGAACCTGTAAATAGTTCTCTTGACAATCTATTAATTAATCCTAAACGTATACTGATTTAATGGAATCTAATTTGGTACTTAAGCTATACTAGATATTCCTGATTAGAAAAGTATTAATATTATTAAATCTATCCAATGCACGTAACATTAGAATGAAACGATTCTGTACTATGGGACAGTGTTAAAGAACCATTACGTTGAACAACAGTTCAAAAGTAGTTGGTGAATGTACCCGGTTCCGCTCGCTTCAGCTTCCAATATCGCTTCCATGGTGAGCTCGAAACTGAAAAGGTGTCATCGTTAAAAACTATCGTACCGAGGGCTGTTTCACTGAGCTTTCCGAGAAACCGAAAACATGTTTTGGCCGAGTTCTCGAAAAGCGTGGAAATGTTTGCGTCCAGAGGGTAAAGAAAACAAGATGGACGTTCATCGATATCGATTGCGATGCGATCGTTCTTCAAATTGGACGTCAAAATATAATCTTGTAACACGAAATCTAAATAAAATAACGATTGGAATAATTTTGGCTATTAATGGGTTAAATCTGGCGGACTCTAATTCTATTTCTCTAACCGATACGAAGAAGATAAATTGAGGGTAGGGCAAAGAACAGCAGACATAAAGGAAAGGGAGGGAGAGGAAAGGTACCGAAGAGCGAAGAGGGGAGAAAGGTAAATTAGGAGAGAAGGTCGCAAGCCTCGAGGGGAGGTTCTGGATGCGAGAACAAGGGGGTTGTTTCCTAATCAGCTTACTTCCGTGGCTCACACCTTTTGTGTCGTGGACCAGTCCTTGGATTAAAGCATTGTCGCTACTGGTTATTATATCACAAGATACGAATGAACGCTGGCAAAGTACACAACAATAACATGTGGTTCCATGCAGATAAACTGCACCGTCCGAAACAATGCTTGTGCAAAAGGACTGGTCAGAACCTCCTGGGGTTACTAAAAAGATATACGAGACTCGGTCGAACGAGAATGCAACACCGGTGACGTTTAATCAGAGAGAATGTAAATTACCAAACAGGAGTAGCGTTTAGAGATTATTTTGCACGGCATCGAACGAAAGGCGAAGAGAAAAGCGTACGACATTTTTCAGTACAAAGCGCGAAAAAGCAAAGGACAACGGTACGCGATCCGTATTGCGGCGACGAGAAGAAAGCGCGTATCAAAGGATCGCAGCGCGAAGCAGGTGGCTGGCTGTTGTTGCATCGATCGAAATTTCATTTCGTCGTCAAAGAAGCCGAAGGACTTTCGGCCCTTGTGCACAGGAAGCAGCGTTGCACTGGCTTCTTGCTAGCCTGTTCAAACTTTAATGCATGCGAGGAGGTCGGCTTGTTTGCTCTCGAGAAAATTGCACCCGTAGAACCGGCTGTATCGAGGTAAAATGTGATTTCGTTGCTGACCCAAGGGATCCCGTCGACCGTCTCGTCGAAAGAACGTTGCACCTGTTATATATGTACGTCAGACCGCGCCAGACGTCGCGTTAACTTCGAAAAAGCTCGCGGTCTACGTTTACGCTTTATATTACCCTTCGAGATGGTACACGAAAATATCGTGGAAGCTCTGAAAAATTCTAACCACTTTCATGCACGATTAGATGTTAGAAACAGTATGCATCCGAACGGACAATACGAATCGGTCTTTCATCATTTACCTCGCGTTTCCGGTGATCAGCGTAAATGCTCGGCTCGCCCTTACGAAGGGCTTCGCCGAGGGTAACTCGTGGGCTGCAGCCTCCGTCGGTCTCGCAGTCGTCGTTAATTAATGTATGTAACACGACGAGGAATACGAGCATAATTACTTTGCTCGAGTGGCCGGAGGCCGAAAGTTTGCTCGTTATCACCAGGCGTGGATGCACGCGCACACTCTGCAAAGACGAACGCATCGATAATAAGAGCATTATCGTGTTCTGTTGTTTCACAATACGAGGGCAATTCCACAGAATTGTTATCAAAATTTCGATGATCGTCGTGTCGCTATTGCATATCGCTAGATATCAGGATTCGAGTCGAGGGATTTCCAATTGATAAAAATGATGTAATTCAATTTAATTAGGTTACAAACAACTTGATTTTCCCGAAGGACGACCAGTGACTTCTGGTGATATTTTTATATGGCGAGGGTCAACTTGTACCCGTCAATTGCATCGGAAAGGACGAAAATGCGAGCGCCGATCTAGCCTGCAACAAACCGTTTCAAAGCTAAAAGGATGCAAAAGGGTGCATTAGGCAGTCGGTCGATGACAGTCAGAGTCCTGGTGCAGCATGGCGTCGAGGAAAGTTGAAGCCGAGCAAACACACAACGCGAACGAGTGCACAGGCCGTGCTGTTTGGTGACGGCCGGATGCACGAGGGTAGCAGACCACATCACTCGTCGGCCCGACCGGATGTCCCGACATTGAAATACAAGCGAACCCTTGCTCGCTCTCTCCTTCTCATTCTCTCTCGGGGTTGCTAACCCCGGTTCGCGTTCACTCATGCTCTTCTCTTTCGTGTCTGCTCGAGTTAACGCGAGCCGTTGTATCGGCCGAGAAATCTTGCTGCGAGTCATCCTGACTCCCGTGAACTTGTTTAACAGAGGATCGAATAGCTTGCAGAATTACTATCGATCCATGAGGTTGTCGATTGGCTTGCACGAAGGGTGAGCTCGAAGAAAGATGAACATTTCATCTATGTACCAAGCTAAAGAGTCTACCTAGTCACTTCATGGCATTTTTAATAGCGCGATCAATTAAATCAACGGCGTTATAAGTATACATGTACTTAAAGTATATTTTAAATTCAATTGTTAAGGCATCTAGCTATTTCTCTAATAGGTACTGATTATTATTACCTCGAGTGTTACCTAAAATGACGCTCGACACGATATTTTATCTCGCTCTTTCATTTCACAACATCGATCTATGGAACGCGTATATCTGTTCTTACAATGGATTAATGAAAAACAGGAAAAAACACCGTATTTTTAATATTTCATTGTATCGTTGGCAATCAAATTTTCGCACGTAACGAACCAGCCACTTATCCTGCCACGTGGACAACGTATCTCGAGGAAAAAGGCAGGGAATCCAATCGCAATAGAGTTAAGTGTTCCAGAGTAAAATCTAGCCGAGGCACGACCTCGATTACTCGCTGAGGATTTGTTACGGTCACCTTTTCCGTCGTGTTTCCTTCATCGATCCTATGGAATCGTCCTCGACTTCTTCTTCGTTTTCGATTCCCCTGAAAGCCAGCTACATTCTCCCTTAAACGTCGAAAGAACGCCAGGGACATTTTGTCCCTTTAGCCTCCTTCGGCGACCCGATTTTTCCGACCTCCTTTTTTCTCCATCAAACGAAAGGGATTTCCAATTGTCGCATTTATTCTGCCTTCGATCTTCCTTCGGTTAAATTACATCTGTTTGAACAAACCTGTTATCTTGTTGTTTGATTCGAATTGGATATATTCGATATATTTCGATTGTAACTTTCAAATAAAGAATTTGTAAGCCAGTTTTGAAAAATTCAATTAGACGCAATGGCGTGTTTATCAGAAAATTCTTAAACTAAAAAGATTTAAATGGACCAAGGATTTTAATATCTTCGATCTATCCGCACCTTCAATTTTATCTCTTATCACCGAATCACCAAGGTCAATCGACCAAATAACATATTCAAATATATCCGATAACGGACCACTTTTCGATTATCTGGTCAACATGAAAACAGATAAACAAGATATTGTAGAGCACTTACTTGATCATGTTATTGTTCCAAACAATCTGACCAATCGTACTTTCCATCGAAAGAAAGTTTCGTCTAATCAAAGACGAGTCAACCCTTAACTGCGAACACATTTTCCTAGTTGCTTCTTGTTTCGTCGTGAAAATCCTCAAGGTCGTTACGCCAACAACGATGAGCCGAAAAGGCAGGCTGTTACCACCATGTGCTGCCATAATATCGGGGTAAAGTTTGCCTGGCTAGCGGGAGAAAACAATTTTGAACAAGTTGAACGTCGAAGAAGCAATTGTTGCCCCTTCGAAGGACAATTATAGTGTCTTTGAGAGCCACTATCAAATATCTCTTACTATCTTTCAAAATATTAGCTTATTATTGTCTATTGAAAACGAGAGACAACGATGCCAATGAATTTCTTTCTAAAGAGTTTAATTGAAAGGATGGATTTTTGATAGAAGAAAATCGGGCTATCGTTTACAAGCTTATATCAAAGAAAGTAGAGATGAAGAAGCAAAAGATTTCATTAAGCCACTTCTAGAACAGGTCTTAAAAAACAACATGAGAATATCAGCATTTCAAATCTGAATAATCTCTCTTAACCTTCCAAGTAAAAATTAGTTATCTAACAATTAAATACTCGAATGTTTTATTTGCATGTTCGTCAAGATATAATCTTATCGAAGATTCATTAACAGAAGGAGTATTTAAGGGAGCGAAACGATTCAGGTCATTACATTCAGTGAGATCCACTACCAGAAGCAACATGGTGAGTAAACCAGAACAATTGAAATTATTCTTAAATATTATAAAATCTTACTATTTACTGCTGGCCTAGCTTAATAGCTAGACTTCTTTTACATTATTACCTGAATATTCGAGATTAAAATTTCTTCATTCTTTTCGTTCATAGATGAAATTCGCATTCGCCCTCGTCGCAGTCCTGGCTTTGGCCAGCCCCCTGCAAGCTTACAATGTTCCACGTACAGGAAGCGGTGTCCTGGCTAACGAAATCCAGGAGTTCGTCGATCTTGTGCCAACAAAAGAAATAATGAATATCGTCCTTCGTTACATCGCCACTGACGTTGATGTCCAAGCTGTGTTAAAATTCGTGCACTCCGCGGAGTTCAAACAATTGGTCATCGAAATCGAAGCCATGTCCGAAATCAGGAACATCATGAACTACATACAGACAAATGGACTGGACATCTACCAGATTGTAAACCACATTAACAAGTACCTCGATCTCGATTCATTGGTACCACCAACCAACGTCCGAATGGTGAGGGCCGCTGGTGGAATCCGCGGAATGCTCGACGAGGTTAAGGCCCTTGTACCCAAGGAGAAGATCCGGGAACTGTATAGAACGAAAATGGCTTCATCCAAAGTATTTGCCGATTTAGTCGCTCAATTGAAGTCACCGGAATTCCAGAACGTCGCCAATCAATTGTGCAATAACGCTACCTTCAAACACGTGTTGGTCGAAGCCAAAAAGGCCCAAGTCGATATCGACGGTTTGGCAAGATTACTCGAGACCGTTTTGGGCCTTACGCTCCCCTGCAAACCATGAAGAGACATACTTACCGATGCTTACTGATAACTCTGATTGATTTAATTTTATGCAATAAATAAGTGAAATTATAATACTTTGTTTAACATCTTTTTACCCTCTTCTTATCCTTCCTTCTATTTCACTGATAGTATTTTTACTGATCGATTTTAAATAAATTATATAAAATAAATAAGTAAAATTATAACATTTTGTTTATTATTTCTTTGTCCTCTTCTTATTTTCACCTTCATCAGAAATAAATTTGAAAGCGTAGCATTTAGTGTTCAGATGATGTAACCTGAAAACATTAAAAAATGTGAGCGACAATTAGAATGTAAGCAATTAGAAACATATTACAATAAAATCTGAATAAGTACAAAAGAAATTGCGACCCAAACATTGCGTACATATCCAACCGAGGTGTCAAACAATGACGGTGCGAGAGAGGTCCAATGATCATAGGAAAGAGCTAAAACGTATCAGTGTGTCTAATACTGATTCAATTATAAAACTTTATTATTTTTGACTTTTTTTTAATAAAACTTTTACTCGGGCATTATTGAGATTTTTGTTTTAATTATAATTACTCATTACTCAGAATACCTCATTTAAAATTGGACCAAATGACGTGAGGTTTCTCAAGAAGCTATACAAAAAATTACAATTTGTCAAAATCGGGAAAAAAATAGTAAAAGGCAATTTTTTAACTTTTTTATTTGAGCCTGTAATGAAAATTTAAAATATGACATTTGTAAATTTAAGTATGTTATGTGTATCGGTCAATGCACTGAGAAGTTGCAAGTAATTAAAATTTCTGAAAATCGTGACTTTTCATCTAAGAACATGACTAGTTATGTTCTTATCGTTAGACGAAAAGTCGCGATTCGCGGAAATTTTAATTACTTGTAACTTCTAAGTGCATTGGCCGATCTTGATGAAATTTTCAGCATACATATAACTTACTTGAATCTACGAAAGACATATTTTAAATTTTCATTAGAGGCTCACATAAAGAAGTTGAAAAATTACCCTGCACTATTTTTTCTCACAGTTTCAACAAATTGTAATTTTTTAAAACAACAAAAGCACATATCTCAGTAAATTAATTTTTATAGCTTCTCAAGAGAACTCACGTCATTTGGTCCAATTTTAAATGAGCTATTCTGTTTTAAACGGTGACCCACTGAATATGCAGTCAAGATGTCGATTCTATGTTGTTTATTCTATTATTATTGTTTATTTATTCTATTATTATTCTATTATTATTGTTTATTTATTCTATTATTATTCTATTATTATTGTTTATTTATTCAATTATTATTGTTAGCTTGTAAATTACTTTAATTTTCTATAGAAAGAAACTGTCCGGTATGATCACACTTTAGCGCGGACACCGTGTATATAATAAAGTAACAAATGAAAAGTATCTCTAACTGTGATTCAGCTTAATAATATATTCCTAAATAGGATTTCTAATCTTTCATCACATTCAAAATTCTGAATCCCTAGAAATGTTGAGATAATACAAAACAAATGTTGATTAAGTGATTAATTATTTATTACCCAATGCAATGTTATTGAAAATCAACGATGTGATTCTGATTTTTTACTTTCAGAATATTAGAAAATGGGACGAAGGAAATTTGAGCAATATTTTGAAGATAACTCTATGATTATCTGTTATACACTCATCACATGTCAATACGATATATCACAATCATAAATTTGATTTTGTTCGAGATTGTATCACCTATCAATGCGACCACACAGCTGACGACCTTGTGTTTATTTGAAACAAAAAATTATTTGTCTTGAGAAAGACATTTGAGAACTAGTAATTTAATTCACAATACCATGTGTTAATTGCTAACTTTGAAAATACAGAATATATTCCATGACAACGGATTAAAATTTTTAACGATTGCTTTAGAAATTTGTACAACGAGTAATTCATTGTCAGATGAATCTATTGTTTCAAATAAAAGTGATTTTTCAATATAATTTAATTAGTGCATCCAAAAAAAGAACGGAGCATTAATTATCAATTATTATTTCATACGATGTTTTCACCGGGTATTCCAATTTTTCATTGATTATCATTTACAACCTACTTTACTGATTAATATCCACAGGTGTTAAAGAAAACAGGTGTACACAAGATGAAATCTTATCATCCTCTCAGCCGATTCTTTGTCATAGACCATGCTCTTTTTCAGAGTATAAATTAAGGAGGCGAAGCAGGAGTTAACAAGTAGTCCAGTATTACTACAGCAAACAAGGTAAGCCACTCAGCAGCGTCTATTATTCTTTCTAATTATTAATTATGAAATTTCTCTAAATTTGAACGGAGTTAACTAAGACTTTCTATGACTTTCATTTTTATTTTGGCAATCTGTTTTTTGCTAATCTCCGTGTTAAATTATTTTTTCTAAGTTCTTATTAATCGCTTGCAGATGAAGTTCTCACTGGTAGCACTCTCTGCGATGGTTGCCTTCGCAACCGTCAACTGTTATCACCTGCCAGCATTCGGGGAAGGTCCCCTATACGAAGACATTCAGTATTTCATAGACATGATCCCCATGGATGAAGTAATGCGAGTGATTGTACAGTACACCGTCAAGGACTCCGAGTTCCAACAACTCCTAAAATACATGAAAACGGACGACTGCAAGCAAATGGTGAATGAAATCGAGGCTATCCCCGAGTTCCGTACATTCGCCAGCTACATGGACAAGCATGGAATCTACATGTATGATGCGTTGAACAAGATGAACAAGGTGATCGGCCTGCCATCGTTCCAGCCCATACTTGTTAAGAAGGAAATCACTGGAGGATTGACTGGTCTCTTCAACGATGTCAAAGAACTGATCTCCTACGACGACATCATCCATGGTTACGTTTACAAGATGAGGACATCCCAAGATTTCCGTGATTTCGTCGCCGAACTGAAATCCGAAGGTCACCAGAACTTCGTTAACGCGCTGTACAAGAACCAACGTTACCTGGCCTTCCGTGCTACCCTGGTCAGCAAGGGTTTGGACATCACTCTGATCGAAGATGTCATCTACACTGTCCTTGGTATCGAGTTCCCAGTTTTGGACACCACCAACGCCTTGTACGACAACCAACTATCCAAAGACATCCAGGACTTCATCGACCTGATCGATATGGACAAGGTTATTAAAATCATTTCTAATTACTTGGATGATGACCAGATACAGGAAAGTCTGAGATATTTCCGCAGCGAAGAGTTCCACGTACTGGTACGCAAAGTCGAAGCCCTGAAGCCCTATCAAAATTTGGTTCAATATTTACACAACGCTGGCCTAAACATACACGGCCTGATCCAGAAGATCCATAAATTGTTCGGTATGGAAGACTACGTTCCACCCAGTGGCAACTACTTCAGCTTCTTCGTTAACCGCGGTGGTATGAAGGGTTTGATCGATGATATACTCGCTTCACTCCCCGTGGATAAGTTCAAGGCCATGTTCGAAGAGAAGATGAAAACCTCACCGGATTTCCAGAACTTCGTTAAACAAGTCCAGTCCAAAGAGTTCGAAGAGATCATTGACACGGTCTACAGTGAACCCATCTTTCTGGAAATGAGACAGAAGGCGATAGACATTGGTTTGGACATTCAACGAGCCAGACAATTGTTCGAAGAAATCGGCATTCTCCTTCCCAGACCATCTTACTAATTATGGATTTATAACGATTCGTTTTTATCGACTTTACATGTTACTCTCTAATGTTTAATAAATTTGCTTGTTAATATATCTTTCAAAGTGTCAAATTCTACCTCAAACCTTATAACAATAACCGTATTTTATAGGGGGTGAAAAAGTTAGAAGAAATTAGAAATTCCTCTTTCCTCAATTTTCTCTCAAATCGTTGCATTATTTAGAGTTTATATTTAATTTGATATAAGTTTTGAAGCAGTGTCCTGTGGGGGTTGAACCAACGGTAATTCAATATTTCTCGTCTATCTCCTTCAATACGTCCCCCTATTTCTTTTATTCAGTCCACCATCATCCCTTGATTCTTCGGTTTTATTTTCCTCACCTTGGATATTTTTCACTCGACCTCATCAGCCTCGTTCGCGAGCGGATGCACGCACAAGCGCACGCTTCTTATAATTTTCTATTACGACGCGTCAATAGCGAGTACCGAGGCTTATTAAATTGTAACAATTTTAATTAGAGAAGCAGCGTATAACGCCTTGTTTCTCCCCCTTGTTCCTTCCTATTCTTGGAGCAGAATCGACAAAGCCACCCCCGTAGTTGCGAAGACGCGTTGCTTAAGACACCCCTCGGTTTCCTTTTAAAAGTTAGCGCCACGTGCTCGAACACAGTCCTCTTTTATTTATCAAATGGCCGTTACCATTGTAGACCCATTCTCTGCACGCGGCGCCCTTTTCCTTTTTCTTTGGATCAGCGAAACTTCCGACGCGTTAACGAATCGCCCGTTTCGACGACTGGGGTGAAATTGATCAGCCTTCGAATAACTGGATGGATTTACGATGTTCTTCCGTCATCTGTTAGAAATATTTGTTGGTCCATTTAAAAAATTCGTATTTCTGGATCACGATTGATCCGACATCGATGTTTGAATGATCAACGACGTCGTTTCCCAAGTGCGATTTTCCCTAAGCTTCTAATCAAATGGGTGTCGATAAATTAACTGTCGATTAAAGACAATATCAAGAATATAAGAACAAATGCTTTTGTCAGAGCAATTGAAAGAAAACATTGTTATCGATTTATCGATGTAATTAGCTTCAAAGATAATAATTTCCTATTGTATCGGCACAAAAAACAACTAATATAAATTAATATAAAATTGTAATGTGAATAGCACTTTTCTTGTTTAACAATATGAAATATAATCTTTGTGTCATAATTGTAATATTAATAGTATATCCCTTTGATTTTCAACAGAAAAGATAGGTTCTTAAATTGTAACACTGTCGATAAGTTTACCCCTCCTATTTTGTTTTATATTTTCACATTATAAAAGGCTGACAAATTATCGGAAAACTATAATTGAATCTCCTAGGGCATCGTTGAATTCGATTTAGACCGGCGCGAAACGTTAAATTTATATTCAATCAGTGTAGCAGGATGGCTGAATAGAGCGACATTATGCAGGCGCGACATTTACATTATTCGTCAACCGAAATTTGTCAATTCTTTTAATGATAATGATATAATAATTTGTGCGGCTGTATATAGAGGACACCACGGAATTGTTTGTAACAATGCTTTCAATATTGTTATCGGTATCGAAACCAGCTATCAAGCTGATGGTTGTTTTGATTTGCCGTGTCGTATACACAAGCTCGTTTCCATTTACTTCCCGGCTGTATAATTGCAACTTTATTTGCATCTAGATTCGAAAAGTAATTGAAATTTTCATGACGTTTTTCAAGAATTTTATTTTATCAATTTCACCAACTTCAACAATTGCAATTTAATCAGAAGTAACTTAGATATTTCGAATTGCTAATGTGGTTCTCCTATTTCTTTGTTTAATTAATTTCGTATCGCGGATAATCCTCGTAACAGAGATCATATTGAAAATGTATCAATCAATATTATTGATTTTATAAAAGCAAGATTAATTTAACGTTTTTCACGTGCATTTTTGTTATCTATAACAAAGAATATCTAGTAGTACTATATATCAGTCACGTCATATTGAAAGATTACGTGCGATATCTGAAGAGCAACAATAATCTGTCAAGTACGTAAAAATCTATACTTCCTATCTTACAGTAAATAAAAAATAAACATGTTTAATGATGAAACGAATGATATCCTCGTTTGTACTTTGTCTTTCTAGAAACAATAAATCAAATAATAATTTTTTCAAAATGATTTAGGAATCATGCCATAGAAAAATTACGAACACGTTTCTTAACGTAGTTTTAAAGCTCTTTAGCTATGTAAATACTCAACAAATATGTAACTATCAATGTTACACCTGATACTTCATTTGCTTTGTTCTATTCTATGAATATAGTGAATCATCCATACTAATTAATCATTATGTTGACTTCACGTCGCTCCAGGAAATGTGAGATGGAGCGTCATAGTAATCCTTAAACAAGATCCAAAAAATTAATTTCTTTGGAGTACAACAAATATAAACCTGTTATCTTAACTGTTTCACATAATTAATGTAAATTATTATATCACGATATTTTGACAAGAAAAATTTTGTTTTGACTGCTTAACCTGTCTGGTGAACTTTTGTTCAAGGATATATAAAACAAATTTAAAAAGAAAAATATGACGACCATGGAAATTTATGCAGATGCCGTATACAAGATCTTTCCTTCCCACGTATCTTAAATCTCATCGTAAGTAGTTTACTAATTGTGTATTGAGTAAAACTGAAATTTGGTCATTTTTTTAAATTAACATTAAACTCATCGACATTATGTCGCTTTTTGCGCCAATTCTAAAGTAAGGAAACACACATCCAGGCTGAAGATATCCACTTAATTTGAAATATCCAAGTCGTACATAATTCCCAGACAAGATTACAAAATGATTTCGCACTAGAGACGTATCAAGGATCAAGGATCTCAAACAAGGACAAAAATGAACCCACACATTATGATCGCTAGCGTGATGGCCACTGCTTCTGTCGCCCTTATCGGATTTCTAGCCTACAAAATCGGATTTCGATCGAACGATTCATTTAACTTGCCGCTTTTGAACGACGACAGCTCTCTCGAGGAAGATCTCAGAGATATCCTTGCGTTCGTGCCGTTTAACGAGGTGAAGGAGATCGTCGAGAAATATATGAAATACGATGCTCAGATAGGGGACACCGTGAGTTTCGTGAGTGATCAGAAGAGATTCATCGTACGAGAATTTCAGAGAATGCCTCAATTGAACAAGCTGATCGTGTCTTTGCGACAAGACGGCCTGAACGTCGATTCGTGGTACGAAAAAGTTCGAAGCTTTTGGAAAACGTCGCCAAGGTTCGTCAGAAACGATCCCAGCATCGCGAAAGGCGGCTTGACCGTCATGATCAACACCACCCTGAATACTATACCACTGGACGAGCTGCACGAGTTTCTATTACAAAAAGTGAAATACTCGAGAAGCTTTCGTAGATTTTTGCAAATGCTCAAGTCAAAGGATTTCAGGGACTTTTGCAAGGCTGTCGAAGACAATGCTGTGCTGCATCATCATTATTTTTGGGCTAAGGAGAGCGGGTTGGAAATCACGTTCGCCATCGAATTGTTCACCGAACTGCACACTTATTTCACGCAGACCTTGCTTCTGCAGGGTTAGAAATTCTTGAAGATTAGTTAAAAATTAACATTTCGATGATTGAAATATACTCTGTCGACCACTTGTGATGCTTTATGATAATTTATATGAAAATTTTATTGACAGTGAGAAGAAAGGAGTTAGTCGGAAATTACATTAAACACTGAATTTTGATTGCAGATAAAAATTTAATCAATCATATTTGATAATTTGGTTTAACAATTTAAAATTACATCTAACATAGCAGATATTTGCATCTGAAAGTTTACTTATTGAAGGGTGCCAGGATTAAGAAAATCGGGTAGTAATGGTGGAATGATTCTTTATCTACGCCGACTCGTTCCGCGCGATTTTCTAGTTTCGAAAGGATTTCACTCTGCAACACGGAGTTGTAGAAATTTAAGAATTCAGCGCTCGTGATCTCATTAATCAATCCTTTGAACGCTTTGGAATTTTCCATCTTGTCCTTCTGCATATCCAACATCTCGTCTACGGGAACTAATTCAAGGATGTCTTGCACGTAACCCGAAAGTCCTCCGGTGATAGCACGCTGGGGCCCTGCTAGAGGCTTGAACGGTGGTATATTCAGAATTTCGTTGTATTTGTTTAACAAACTATAAATGTTGAGACCGTTATTTTGTGCGTAGGCCATCAGTTTCTTAAATTCAGGCGCTCCTTCCACAAATGTGATGAATTCTTTCGAATCCGGAGATTTCAGGAGGTTCGTCATCAGCTGGAAATCCTTGTCCTGAGCTGCGTACGTTCTCGTAATGTCTATCAGTTCGTCCAGTGGTATCAGGTTAAGGATATCTTGAAAGTCCTTAGCCAGCTCACCCGAGCCAGTGCTTGGTATGTTGTAAGCGTTCAGTTGACCGACCACGGCCAGAACAGCCAAAATTGCTAGAGTGAATTTCATCTGAAAGAAAATTATTTCGTTAGTTCTTTGTCTATTAAATAGGTAAAGTGTTAAGGCACGTCGGCGTAATCAAGCAAAATATGACACCGCCAAACGAATAGCAGCAAAGGATTAAAGTTAGTTGAACGTTCGAACGAGAATGGAAAATCCATGCGTTGGTGTTCGATCGATGGAACATACTTTCGAGATCGAATTATTCAGTCGGTGAGAACGGTGTTGTATTATCCCGTAAATTGAATGTCGCGTTGTATCGAGCCGGCGGCAAAATCAAACGTGCATTTACGCACTTTGCGAGGGTAACAAAAGCGGTGCGTGCTCGACACGCGTCTAATGCAACCCGTTAACAAAGCGATTCAATTATTCTAACGTCAGTTCATTGAAACGCGAAGCTTGCTTCAATCATGTTCGAAAGTTTTCACTTGAAACGATTCAATGCTCGAGTATTCAATTATTTTTCACGTTTTACCTTGTTATTTTCGGCCTTCTTGGATTCTTCAAGTTCGACGATCGTATTCAACGGTTACTGCTCGATCGTTCTCCGTTACCTTTTATATATAATACATAGACCGATACAAAATCAATATGTAGTTACGATAAGATTAATTGAATTCGTCAAAATGGAATTAATCTTCTTTCGATTACTCAATGTGGAAGTAGATAGAAATTATCTTGTAATACATACTACGTGTTTACGGCGATTACGTCTCAAGTGGTCTTAATTAATTGTCCAACGTGATTCTAAGAATCTTGGTGACACGTAACGTACCGCGTGCATGGTAATTTCTCTTTTTTTATGGTTCTCTAGACAGCCAAGTTTACCCAGATGAAGAGAATTTATGTATTTCGTTATATAGCTTTGCATAATACACGAGCTTATTATATCCCATGAAAGAGAAACATCTTGGGAGGAAAAGTTTCGATGGACTAACGTAACCTGCTTCAGAAGCTTCATTAAGAAAGACGTAAATACGTAACTCTACAAAGGAAATATTTATCAATGAATAATGGCTACCTTGTTATTTTTTAACAAGACTTTCTTTTAACCACCGACCATATTAAACACGCAAACTTTCATTGTAAGCTTTCTATTACAGCCGTATTGCGTGAATTGCGGTTTCCATTGCAACTCTATAGACATCGTATATTTATTTTAAAATCGATCGGCAAAATTTTAACAAAATCAAACTGTTTTATCAGGAGAAATATAAAAATTTGTCACAGATATGATAGCAGAAGTGATACAGAATTTCCTCTCTTATCAATAAATCTTGATCGCGCTTACTTTTGAAATTGCTGTTCGAATGATAAGCGATCGATCAGGATCCCATAGGACGAGTTCTCGATCGATGTCCTCCTGGAGGAAATTTAAGACAAGCCGTCGCGGAAGGAATTAATTCCGTTGAAGACGACGTCACGAGCCGCGACGAACGCGACAGGACGGTGTGAGTTTCGTGCCGTGGAGCGTCGTTGGAGACTCCGAAGAGAAGAGGAAGCCGGTCGACGACAAGGGAAGCTGCTGAAGGAGAAATAGGGTTCGGAACTGTGCTAAGGCAAGCGGCTCGCGGTGTCTGCGGCAAACAATTCCAATTAACTCGCTGGAATTGGAATAGGACTCCTCTCGTCGACGCCCTCTCGGCTGAGAGACCGTCTCCTGGATGCCCAAACGTCGCCGACGACGATGAGAACGCACTCGCTCTTCTCCCCTTTCGTCTTTCATCCCTCGAAATCTTAGCCCTTCCTTCTTTTCGTCCTTCGGAACGTCGCTTTTCTTTGCCGTTCAGGTCGCAGAAATTAGCTGTCCATCCAGCGTGAAACTTGGCGAAAACGTGCTCAAACTCGAGGACAGAAACGACGTGGAAGGGGAGAAATTAAAAAAGTTCACCATCTTTTCCTTCTCCTTACCGCCCTGCTTTCCTTAAAGAAACTTTCCCATCGATATTTACATTTCAATCGAACATCGTTCTCTTTCAAATTGGATCGAACTCGAACACAACTATCCCAAAAACATTCGGACAGACATACAACACACCGCTTCTATAAGTGAATAACCCTTTTCACAAATCCATTAATTGTTTCCTCTTTCCAAACAGGTGGTGATGGTTAATAAAGGAATTGAGAAAAACAAGAGAAATGGTAGGTGCAGTCCTTTCTCGAATTTGTCACTCATCCCCATCTTTTGCTTTCATTTGAAAGACGGGGATGGTGGTGGTAGCTGGGCTGAGAGAGGTATAATTCAATCAGGATCTAGAAGGGGGTGTTTGTAAAGTACGGTTTCTTTGCACGTGTACGAAGGAAGTGAATAGCGGTCCGTTGGACCATTATCCGTCGCATAATGCCCGTCATTGAGGACAGAAAGAGAGGATGAAAGGGTGAGAGAGACAGAGGAAGGGGATCATAAAGCAGGGGGTTGGACCGTCGCCCTAGACAATGCGGTTCTTGAGCTGCTCAGATATTGAAGACGCCCGAAAGCGGTGTGTACCGATCCTGATGTGTACCCAACGTCTAGCCCGCTACTCTACATTATTAAATCTCCTTGCTCGTCTTGCGTGTGGACGTGGACCAACCGAGCACGGGACGATGCCGTTCTTTTCCGCGCTTCCCTACGAACCGATTGATTCGCGTCGAATTTTCCGCAGGACGAGTCGTCGACATCGATCGAACCGTTTATCATTGGTAATAAATTGAAGAACCGCGTGGAAAAGTTTTAAGAACATCTCGTCCGACAATTACTGTTGAAGCCGCTCTGATACTTGTCAGATGCTTGAAAAATGGAGAACGTGCTTCTCGAATCTTTCAATCGCTCATAGCTGTGTCCCCTGTGTCATTGCGTTTTATTTTTCGATCCCACCCATATAATTTAATTACGAGATTGTATCACAAAGCAATCTCTCCTCGTTATCTTGTAACAACTTTTTACATCCGACAATTTTTACCATTCCGAGCTGGAACTACGTGATCATATGCGACCATAAACTCGGGGATGATGATGCACGAAAGTAATCTCGGTAAACTTCGTCCGTAACTTTCCGCGTTCCACCGTAACGCTTCGCATTTTTAACTCGAAATTGTACGCTGTAATTAAACCTCGCGAATTTTTTCGCGTGCAAAAAAAAATGCAGGTGGAAAGAAAGAAAATTGTGAACAGTTCCGGACGGTCGTAAAAATAATTTACACGCGTCTCTGGTGTCAGGTCGGGCGGCCGTCTTAAGCAGCGATAACGGGTCCCAATTAGCCTGGCTGTGAAACTACATATTCCATCTCCCATTTACGACGACATAATGCTACCTGTTTCACGCGAAGCCACGTATAATTGCAGACTAATGCTCGAGCGTCCGCAATCGTGGCAGGTGGCACATAATCGTGGCCTCGTAACCCTCGAACGAGTTAATCCGTGAGGCGTCGCGGTGCGTCGCGTCGCGACGCGACGCTTCCAACCACCAACCGTCATTGTAGTCGTGACTGGTGAGATCGTCGAGTTAGAGGCGACGCGACGTTTAAAAGTAGCTATAGCAAGTCTGATCCGCTTACCGGGTTTAAAAGTCGAGTGCTAACAGCGTAATTCATCCCATCAAGGAAAGAAGGGTCAGAGGAAATCGGCCATGAAAAGTTTCTGAGGAAAATGGAAAGAAAGAAGTAGCTGGAACTGCTAGTGGACGAACGAATAAAGCTATTTAACAAATTTACACTATGGGTATGTACAAAATCTAGACGAAATTAATCCTTTCTATTGTTGCGTTAGAAAAGTGATCAAAGAATCAGTCATCATTCGTACTCATTTCAACTTGTTCGTTCGACGACTCGTTTTATTCCCCGACACGAAAAGTATCGTTCGTCCTGTATGAAACTTTCCCGTCGTTTCTATACGGTCGGCGAGCTCGGTCGTTCTCATTTCTCCTCTCTGTGTTTCTATTTTTTGCCTCTTCCGAGATTGGAGGGTCGACGGAGTGGAAACAAGGGGTGACTGCGACTCTTCTTTTCTATTTTTTTGTTTGCGCGACGCTCGAGTGGCACCGTTTACGGAGACCGAAGGTACGTAGGACGTATCTACGTATTATTGCGACGATGAGTATCATTGCGATGAGATATGGAATTTTTACCAGTGGAATCCGGTTAAACACTTGTCTAAAGATACCGCTTGATAGAATCTTTTTGTTAATATCTATGATGTTGAAAAGAACATTGTTTGTTCGAATTGGAATTATTTCTACAATTGTTATAGTTTTTGATAAAAGAATATTCTGATAATGAGGAATAGATTGTTTATCTTAGTATATCTTTTAACTATAAGAAATTTTTAAAATTCCACGAAAAAATAGTCACAGGTGAGTGATGGTTGATCGAGTTGCTGGCTGTATAGCCCTAAATGATGTCGTTGGAATTGTTGTGGATTGTTACTATTCGATTCGGAAACTCCTCCTCTCGTAACGACTTATCGAATGCGACTTGTTGCATCCGAAGGCAATTATTTCCGGTCTTTACAGTATCACAACGTTGTGAAGTGTCGATTAATAATGTTGGCCAAACTTTGGTCTCTCGATCATACAGATACTAATTAAAGATTACATGGGAGTGATGAATGTCACGGTATGTATTATATTTTCGTGATTGATAACGAGCTTCTGATATCTCGAACAATATTGTTTTCTGATATTTCTACATCACACGTAATGGATGACGTCACATTATTCGTCTGTTTGTTACTTGGTATTAACAATTCGTTTAATGATTGTTGTCTTCAGGTGGCAATATTGAGTAATCTGACGAAAATAATGATAAAGATGATAAGGAAGCGTTAAGCACTGTTCTTAACAGATTAATTTGTTCTGTAACACTGGGACATAAGTAAATTACACCATAACTTACAGCGATGGTAAATTTACAGCCATGAATATAATCTTCAAAGTTACACGATTTATCACTATTCCAGAATTTATGTGGTAAAGGTATCTCCTATTAAGTAAATTAGTTCAACACTATCCACGGTGTACAGGTGCGTTTTCGAAATAGAAAGGAAAGAAAAATAAAATAAAAATAGTTCTACAATAATTGTCCTGTGTTTCAGATATTCTGGGAAAACTTGTCAATCAGAGACAGAGAGAATTAACGTGAAATCTTCTCGTGCCAGTTAGTCGGTACGAATAGTACTCGATTAAGCAGTTTGCCAAGTCGCACAACAGTTCGATGTGAGAGGAGCTTAAACTTGGAGTTGATGACACCTGTATTGCTACCGTGAGACAGAGACTAAGAAACAGAGGTACGAATAGAGGATGGCTGAATTTGCTAGGGTGAGTTACATCCACAGGGAAGGGACGAATTGCCGTTAGAATGCCCGAGAGTAGGTTCTCGTAATCAGCAGTACTCGCTAGTTCTCCGATTCGAGGGAAATTCGCAGCCGGATCACGTCGTTATTTAACGAGATTATGTCGTTAACCGACAGGATGCAGACTCGACCGATGTCGATCGCGATATGAAATTAAATTCGTACATTTTTCCTGATTAACGAGCACCGGCTGCGTAATCGCGTTTATGCTTTACACGTCGATCCACTTCAACTACGATCGATCGATCGCGTTTTCCTGCGTATTGCCAGTAAAATTACCCGTTTGTTTCAAATGTTACCGTAGTATCAGTCATGGTGTCCGAACTAAGACGCAATAATAATGGTGTGAAATAAATATATTCAACATTCCAAGGAGTTTCCCTCGATCGTCCTGTCAGCTCTAATGAACTCATCGACGACGTGTCTCTGACTGAATGAATGAATTTCGTGCGTGTCTCTTACGAGCGATGTCGGAATGTCGTAATGGAAGCTGCCTGTGGAATATCAGAGTGAGAGCGCGGTTGGAACGACGAGCCTCCTCGAGGATCCTCGAAACAAGAGTTTTGAATGTCGAATATCGAGCATTTATCTTGAATTAACACGATTTTCATTCATTCAAAACTTTGTACTATTGTATTCGATCACGCAAGCCTGTCAGACATCTATTTAGAATCTCTTTTTTTTTAGATTTCCCTGACTGATCAACGTTTCGTTATCCTCCCCGATCAGCTTGGTAAAAAGCACTCCGCATGGAACAAAATATTCAACGAACAAGAAAAATGTCCCGAAGGACAGTACGAAAAAATGTTTATCAGCCGGTTGCTTTGCATACACGAAGGGAACCATGACTGGTAGGGGGAGGCCGGAGCATTGTGCGCAGAATTTCCACGGGGGAGGAGAATTCATGGGGTAATTCCGTGTTCGATACACCGTGTGCGCTTAAGGCTGCGATGTTACCGGCGTCACATAAGCGTAATACCGGATAAGCCGCAATAATGCAGACCCGCTGTGCGTGCATGCGAAAGTGGAATGGATCCTGCTGCTTGGAGAGCTTCAAGAGCCAAACGTCCGTGGAGCGTAATCATTGTAGCGAGATACGAATGGGGCCCTTCGCGAACCCACGTACAAATCCGCGAAAACTTTTTCCTAGCGCGGTGAAAGCTTTGCGAGCTTCAGAATCGTCCGTCGTGCGATTGACTCTTGCGCGATAAGCTTTTCTAGTTTTACCGCATTTTAAGATAATATTAAACTAATTTGTTATGGAATAACTTCCAATAATCAGAACAATGCTGGCGAAGGTTACCGTCAGCTATTTAATTAATTTAATTAGTTATCAAATAATTGATAATACCTATTACGGTGTAACGCTCTCAAAATCTACCATTTACTGCCCGTTAATTTAATCGAATCATGAAATTAATTATTTTGCAGAACATTTGGTAGCGACACTACACAAACGTTAACTGATATCTATTAATTTAATCATTATCACTGCATCATTGAATATTCTCGTTCCCAGGGCTCCAAGATGTTTTTCCACGAACGCGATATTAGGATTTCCAGTCTAGTGTTAATGAATCAAGGAATCTTCCCGAGAAAATGCGGAAACAATTGGCAAGAAGATCAACGTTCCCCATTCAGCCTCCGCTATTAACTTACCCTCGGCACGTAGACGAGTATGGGGGTGAAATAAAGAGAAGAGAAAAAAAAATGAAGAAGGACACGGAGTCGCGGTCGCCATAATTTAGCGTTGGTATTACTACTGAATTCCCGGTTACTTTATCTCTAGCCGACGTTCTTTCTCCAAGAATGTTTACGATAAAGGGGTGAGATCCTTTGTTTCCGCATTTCCGACATCGCTTTGAAATTACTTTGCCGCCTTGGCCAAATTCTCCTATCCTTTTGTCCTATTTCACCGTCTACTTAAAGTGTATTTAAAACAATACCGGTTAATCGGCGATGTTTCCAGAGAAAAGGAATCCCGAGGACTCTTTCAAGGTATATCGTCCGAAATGAAATCATAAAAACTACGCGAAAGAGACGGATAAGGAGAAGAAGGAAGATAGATCTGGCCGTGACAAAATCGGTGCCGTAAAATGGCGGGCACAATGAAAGAATAAAATCCTTTTCGTGGGGGTAATTAGCGTGAGAAGCATTAAGGAGACACGAGGCAATTTCGAGGGACCATTTTTCACGGTAATCTAAGGCACTGCCGCCCACACCACCGGCTTGGATCGGTGTCTTCATTTCGCTTCACGGTCCGACGGTGAAAATCGTCCAGAATACCCGCCCCTCGGCGAAGGATTAGGAACCGTGAACACAATGGGGAAATGGAAAAAATCGTCCAGGAAATGGTGGACCATAGCTTGGGACGTCTTAGGACGGCTCGTTTACGATTTTCTGTTCGCTAATTAAACAATCACATTTTACGAAGCTAATGAGAAACTGAATCATGAAGATTAAATTAAAATAAAATTTTGTATGTTTCAGTAATTCGATAAACATTGTGCTAATCGATGCAATTGCCGCTCTTATGGACCGCCTGGAGCTTCGATAGAAATACCTGTATAACCGGAGGACTCGTGAATTCCGTCAATTGTTCTGCGACTCGGTCAAGGCTGGTCGAGAAACGGGCGCATAAATTTCGTCTGAACGGCATCAGCCCGAGAACGATTTTCAGCATTATCCAGGCAGGCGAAGGATAATCCGGATTTGTGCAATCGGGCCCTCAGCTGCAACGGTTCAGCAACCGGATGTGCAAACCGGCTCGGATAATAACTAGCCGCTTATCGGACACTTAAGACGATTTCGCAACGCTACTTGAAGCGTCTTTGAAACGCCTGCAGAAATCGGAAATGATCCCGACCCTCCTTCACGAGATCTCCAATTCGATTCAATTTGATCAGCGACAACGTTTGTTAACGTTTCAAAATTCTTTCGAAACGATACTCGATGAAATCGTAAAGTTTCTTTAACGATCGTTTACGTAATCAGCATTGGTACGTTGCGTTTCGCGGTGGGAATTAACCATGATTATCATGTGTAATTAACGCGGCCGGGACGCAGTTTTGAATTTAACAGAAATTCGCTGATGAAAGTCCACGAGAAGGTATTGTTAAAAATTTAAGCGACGCTCGCGAGGCAATTTCAAATGTAAATTATGGTCAGTGACTGGGAAATGTGGCTGGGTTCCGCTCGTCGTTTCACATAAATCGCCTTGTCAACTATCGTGTACCGTTTTTCTTTTTCCTTAGAAATAACTTTGCTATTCTTTGCTTTCCTCCCATCATTACATGCTTCAATTTTGAACTGAAATAGACTGAAAATTAAAGAAAACAGTGCAGAAACGCTAACGTTCTCCAGCTTCTTCAACTATACTCAAAGTTCTGGACGAACGTCTTAAAGGGACAGAATTAATTTATCTTAGAAATTACGATCATCGTTCAGATTAGAGCAGCTTAGAACTCGACAAAGAACGAACCAGGACTCGTTAAACTTTCCAGCTTCTGCAACATTAATATTTATAAGATAACCTATGCAAACGGTCGTCTGGGAGCTCGTCGAGCCTTTGTTAAGCTCTATTAAAATATGTGATCAACCAACACTCGTCCCTTTGCGTTGTGCGTGTACCCCCCCGGCCAGAAGTTCTCCAGTCTCGATGGAATTAATTACAATTACAGCATCGTGTCTAGTTCGTTCTTCAGTCTCCGTTGTTCGTCTCGCACCTGCCACCTTTGTAACCTGCGAATAAAGAGTAATTCGATGAAGGAGGGTTGAAATTGTCGCAAAGTCTATCTACCTATTGTAAAATAACCTCTTTGATGAAAATCCAAATTATTCGATAAGAAAAAAGAAAATACGATACGTTACACGATCATCATTTCCGAGAAACAGGGAAATTTATCGAGTAACAGAGAGGAAAGACTTGCGGAAGTACCGCGGTAACGATACAAGGTCCGGAATGGCGGGGAAGCAAGAAGGGGTGCGATTAATCGTCGACTAGCTGCTGGCACGCTCGATTTCCTCGGGCGTCGAAAAAAGAGTGGAAGGAAACAATTCGCGTTCTCGCGGATTCCTTTTAATTAATTACACCGGTAACCATCCAGACTGAAAATAATCGGAGCCCATCCACGCCTGCGTTTGTCTTTGGTCGATTAATTAATATTGCATCGGTCCCATCGGCCAAAAAGGGGGTGGAGAGTCGCGTCGCGTCGTCGCTCGGTCCGGTAACGTCGACATCAAAGCCGGCTTGAAATTCACCCTATTACACTCGACCTCAATTTCATTAACCAAAAGTACCGCGGTCCTCGATCCCTTCCCCCCCTTTCATCCCTCTTCGCGTCGATGTGCAAACGTGTTCGTCTCGAAAACGCGTTCGCAGGTGGCCGTACAAGTGGTCGCGGCTCACAGACAGGTCTGGAAATACGCTTATAATCGCGCGTTCATCGCAAAGATACATCTCGTGGCCCTCATTTCGCGAAACATGAAAGCGTAAACCGTCCTACCAGTTAACGACCGTCTCATCTCTTCATTTTTCGAATGAATTCCGCGGAGATAAGGCGTTCACATCCCCTTTACGCTCGTATACACGGAAAATTTCACGTGGAAGATGTCGCATAGGGTCGAGTAAGAACAAGCAATCCCCCCGAGGATGGGATACGGCTATTTATTATACGCCGTCGTAACACCGAATTCATTGAACGGCGAATTCATTCGGCCGGCCATTTTACGTGGAATAAAGCTTGAAAAAAAAAAAGCCTCAGGAGGCATAAAGCTGGCACGGGGTCACGAGCCTCGTATCTCGTATTCACCCCTGCTCGTGTACCCGACTTTCCGACGGTATAAAAAAATACAAAAAGGGAAAAGATACGAGAAAGGAGAAACGGTGAAAAGAGAGAACGGGAAGCAGCGAGACGAAAGGAGAGAAAAAGAAAACGTTTTCCCAGTGACCCGCTTATCTCGCAAGAATGACAACAAAAAAACCTACCCCGTTCCGGAAACACACCCACCAACCAGTACATAGCCGACTGTTTCAGATGCTTTCCCGGCTGAAGAATAACGCTTTCAATGAGTTGATAGTACGGACCTGGATACTATTCTCCAAGAATAAATCTATAAGTGTTAAAAATTAAACAGACGTTTCACTTAAGTCGAAAAATTGACAATTGAGCAAATACTTTTGAACGGTGGTACATGCCCCACGCGTACGTGGCTGTCGCTTACATTCGATCCATACTTTGGCAAAATATAAAAAGAGATTGCATGGCTGATTTATGTAAATACCTTTGGCCCGCGGATAAACGGGTTCTCCTGTCGAACCGTACTGGAAGAGGCTGGTACATTTGATGGTGGCGGCGAGGGTGCAAGGACGAGGGTGCCTGGTAAAGGCTTAGGAGCGAGGAACGCCCGACGGGCATCCAAGGAGTAAATATTTTTCGACGTCGTCACTCGCGAGGGATTCGCGAGAGTTTATCGCATTTCGCGCCCAGCTGCCTCGACTGCCGTGAATCAGGCGAGAAGGTTGCCGTTCAGAAGAGGCGAGCTGAAACGGCCCGAAGTGAACATGACGAAAAGAAGCAGGGAGAGGAAAGGAGTCGAAGCTTGAAAGTTGAGAAGAGGTTACCAGACCTGGTATATACATGCTCGTCTGGACAACCGTATTTCACCAGCCAAGTCAGGACTTAGTCAATTTGCGAGTTGACTACCTACACCTCTGGAAGTTTAAATAATCTAGACTCGTCTACCTAACCAGTTTCTACCAGCTGCTTTCGAGAATTCGACGTCATTCCAGTTGATTTCAATGACAATTTCAACCCCGATGAAACACCGTTCGGGCAGTTTTATCTAAAAAGAAAAAATATCGTCAGTAAAATGACCTGATTGGGATCAAGGTTGGCGAACTTTCAATTAACCAGTTCGTACGATCATCCTACAAATTAATACTTTAAACGTTACATGTATTATTGCATTTCCCGTATCCAGCTCGCTTTTCGACCTGTGACGTTTCATTAAATCGACGTCGATGGAACATCATTGTTATTTCCGTTATTGCTTTCTGCGTTGAAATTAATACAAATAGAGGGCTGCAGCGTCGACGACGATCATGATTTATCAATTTTTAAAGAGATTTTACGAAATTCGTTCTCGTGCGCGCAGCATCGTACCAAATGTTTCATATATTCCTGTTTTTTTCGACGGGTCAGAGATGATAAATGAAGCGGTACACCGTCCTACGTATAAGTATTATTTGCCGGATTATAATGAATTTTACACGGTCATAAGTTTCTAGTGTTTCCTGACTTTACTTTAATATTTGTGCACCAAGAGATTAATACAGACACATTGTAACAGCAATTGTTCCGAATACAATCATTTAAGCTCCCAATTTAGTACGATTCCCGAATGTTTTTTCTTTCTGTAATTATTCGATTACAAAATTATTAATTATTTCCATGCCAATCAGCATGTTAAAAGTCTCTGCTTTCATTAATTTGACAAGTCGATCATTAACCGACGTTAATGAATTTCCAGACTAACTGATAAATAAATATCACGTTTCATATTAAGTAAATTTAACCGAATAATCTAACAATATTATTCCATCAAATTTATGCTTTAATAATTAATACGAATCAAGAACATTAATGAACGCAACGCTGCAATCAAGAATGCTGTTGCAATCTCATTACATGAATTTTTAAGTAATTATATCAACATGTACGTGCTGAGTCAGCAAAAATTCGACTCTGTCATATGAAGCTTAATACAGAAATGGAAATGTAGCCGAAGCCGATTCAACTTCCCTGCTCGATTCTGAAATATTTACAACGACAACAGAGACAACCCTTTGGCCGAGATAGTAGCGAAGGGTTCGCGCACGACCAACCCTTTCGTCGCAATTCCAGGGTTCCCACGACGTCGAAACGCCAGCGTGAGGACGCATCCCCAGGAATCCGCAGGGCACCGCGTCGAAGCCGATTACCGGAACCAGCGCGCATCCGCTTCGGAATTCATACTTGACATCAAAGCAACGTCTGTTCGATGCATTATGTTAACGTAGACGTGTTCATCTAACTCTGATACACGCACCAACGCTCCTGTTTGCGTAGTCGCGCGTGCTCCAATCGGCGTGAACGGATCGTCGCCGGTTCGTCTGCCGTCTCCTTGGGCACGAACTGTAATTACTCAGCGTCGAGACGTCGGCTGTTCGATGACGTCTGTTCGAATCGAAAGAATCATTGAATCTGATGAAAAGTACCGATCGTTTTACCTGACAAGCTGGCTCAAAATCTTCTTACCATTTCAAATCCTCCCAATACTCGTAGCTTTAATTAAACATTAATTCAGCGGAATTGTTAAACGTAACGAGATTAGCTCGAATACCGGGAAACTGAATCCTACGTCCAGTTACTCAGATTTAATTCGCAGTCGCGCAGCGGGCGTTCGTAAGATTTCTCGTCGAATCGCAAGGTAGGGAAAGCCGGTTGTCTGAGCGCGTCTGTACGGTGCTGGATGCAGATCTTATTCAAGATTTACTTTGAAACACGAGACACGTGAAACGGCGTCAAAGCGGAACACCGATTGCGCCATTAAGCCGTGTCGCAGAGGCGCCATGAAGGAGGCTCTTTCGTTCAAAGAGCTCGGATTTAATCGAATTACGCGCCTTATGAACATTTTAACCGTGTCATTCGTTCAAAGAGCAATCGTGACATTTTCTATTCTACCTTGCTCGAAAATCCCTCTACCGCTAATTGCACCGAGAAAATAAAAACATTTAATACATAGATTAATGTATCGAGATTGAAACGATAGTGATGGAAGAAACGTGAAATGTCGCGTTTTACGCCACTACGATAACCTCGTCATCCCTTTTGGTCAGCCATTATCGTGCTTTAACCTACTCGCTATCTAGCCAGTCTAGCTTCCTTTCAGCATTCTGACTCCATTTCGCTCGGCGTAATTAGATCAGTCTCTTCGGGTCTCGAGCGAGTGGCAAAGATCGTGGCAGAGCCAGGACACCCTTCCCCAGCTCGTGAACCGCGTGAAAAAGGCTTAATCGTATTTCCGGTGAGCTCGAGTCCTTCCTTTTTCTTTTTTATTTCGCGTTCATCTTTTCCATTAACTAATAAGCTAGCACGGGCTACGATTCTGAGAAGTAAGCAGCGTTAAAAAAAAGTTTCACGAAATACGAATGTCGAACTCTTTCCTCGGGCAGGGTTAGATCTTAATCCGAAATTGATACCTTCTCAAGAAGCGGGCAAATTTTTTCGCCAGTCCGCTCCTTGTACGCAAACAGAACTAATCGAACGAATTTCATTTTGATTTCTAAGGGAAGCATTAAGAATATTGGGTCGGCCATCTTTTCTATGGTTAAAAATTTCAATTTTAACAATGTCAGAGGGTAAACATTAATTCGAAGATGCAAATTTGTTAATCTTTCGCAACCCTTTTTCTAGGGCAATATTCAATCAAAGAGTATTCATTGCTCTTTCACGAATACCTCGATGTCTACCAAAACGCACAGACTCTATAACGAACGAGATTCTAGAACCAATTACGTTCGTTCAATCATACCTCGTTGTATTCCCATAGAAATCCAAGCCCGGACGTCGCGACGCGGAGAATCCGACCGCGCGAAGAATTCAGAAGCTAACAATTATTCACATTTTCCAGACGATTCCCCCGGCCAGCAGCCATGGCTGGTTCATAAAATCAAATCTGTCTGCCGCAGTCGAGCGGGTAGAATCACGCGAAAGTCCACGGAAAAAGGGGGTTGGTGTGGTGAGGGGACAACGAACGAGCCGAAACTACCCTCTTCCTTAAACCTTCTCCTCGCCAGGTTGCGCAAGATGCGAAAGTTTCTTCCGCGAGGAAAGTTTTGAATATTCAATACTCGCCGCGACAAGGGCGGGGAGAGAGGCGGGGGAGTGGCAGACGTTCTTGGACGGGGGTACCCGGAAGGAATTTCATTTTTCCTATTTTCTTCCGCGTCGGATTCGTCGAAGACGCTGGATGCAGCCTACCGAATCAACAGGGGAGACAAGAAGAGAAGGAAGGAACTCGACGAGACCGGGGCATTTTCTATTCGCGATGCGTCTCGGATCTGATCCACCCCCCGAACCTACCCCCTCTGTCCCGTGAATCCTTTCAGCAGATACGTCGAGCCGAGTCTCCAAGAGGGTTAGATGTTTTCGATGAATCGATTCGGGGGTACTTTCGCTATGCAAACTCCCTTTCCACCAGGAAGTGCTTCGTCCGTTGCACGCTACCTCTTGGACATACACCGTACTCGTCCCCTGATACAACTTTCGTCCTGGCGGCGAATCAACGGAGTTAAGGCTACACCCTCGCGTCTTGCGTCGCAGCCATTCTCCCTCGGACGACGAACTTCCGGTAACGAGGTTGCTCGCAAATTGCTACCAGCTATTCCCCGAGTGTTCGATCTCTGGCTGAGTCATAGCAGAGATCTCGCGGCTCTTCTGCGAATCGCGAGGGTTCCGAGCCTTTCCACAGGAAAATCTAACGGGAAAACTTAACCCGGACCTTCCGCGGGAATAGCGAAAGTTATCTAAGTTCGGAGAGAAAGTTCGGGGGTACAGTGGTATTAAATATTATTCCAGATGTGCGAGAAGAGTTCGGTAACTTGTTTCAATTTTGTTAGATTTCGCGAGCGAGTATGCGCAAAAATAATATCGCGAATGAACTTGTTCTATATAAACGAAATTTGATTTTATGGTTATTATTTTCGTAGTTACCGACATAAGTTTAAGTGTCGAATGCTTGATGGTGTCGAAGAGAACAATGAGTTTTCACGGATTAACTTTGATCTAACAATGTAGTAGCCCCGCTACTGTAATGTCACACCCCAGTGGTTTTCCTCGAGTTCGCGAGGAGAAACACAGAGGGTTAACTTCGGTTTGAATTAATAAACGAGGCTTTGCTTCTAATACCGGGCTTAACTCAGTTCAGTTTGTCGATCGGGCTGTGTAGCGGCAAACTGTAATCGGATTTTGCAGATTGCGCCCAATACGATACACCGACATTAGTTTGTCGCGACATATTTGAGCGCGTTCGTGAATCAATCAGCGGCCTCTTTCATAAGTGAAACCAACACTTGCAGCCCTTCAATTATCCACGCTAATCGAATCAATTGTCTCTCGGCTGCCACTCGTGCCTTCCGTTTCCCTTTTTCCCCACGTCCAACCAGTTTTCCGCTCTGAATGGAAACACGAGACGTTCAGCCAAGATTGCTTCCGCTGGCTGTAATTTGTGAAATAAAATCTAATTTCAACGTCTTTAGCTTCGCGAGAAGCAACGGACAAAGAGTTAATTAAAGTAGTGTTTTACAGTGACCAGTAGGTCTTGCAAAATTCATATCAATGCACATAAGAGAAAACAACCGGACATTTTCGTGTACTCTAATTTATACTTCTCCTTCGGAAGTTAATAAAAATTTTCCGAGGAAAAAGTTTCGTTAAGTAAAATTCAATATTTAGACACTGAACTCGTTCTTGTTACAGAATCTCTCTTCGAAAATCGCTTTCAAATTACACAAAGTGCAAACTCGATGAAACGAACTTCGCTACGATTCCTGGGAATTATTGCATTTATACCACGTTTCGATTAATATTCGTTCACAGTGTAAAACCTGGCCCCTCGTATCACCTCGATGAATAATACCTCGGTGAAGTTTCGCAACGGGCTCGGGTCTCGTTCGATTTCGAAGCTGGAGAACGAACGAAAAGTTTGCAGGGAATTCGTGGTGCCACGAGCCGGATTGTATTAAGGCGGGAACAATGAAATGAACGAACAGCGGCGAGGGGAATCGCGATTGCAAACTACCTTGTGGAATAACTGATTAAGATCAAAACGACGGAACTTTACGTTCCTCGGCGTTATTTTGGTAGAGAGATGAAACCGACGCGACGCGACGGAACGATATCGTTCCCTACACTTATCTTGATTATTCTGCAACTTCATATTCGAGTTTAAAAATGACAACCAAGGAATTAAAATAGTAAACGATGTAAATATTAATGAATCTTCTGAGTCAATTAACCGAAGTACCATATGGGTTTACCTCGTTTCGGACGCAATTACAAGGGAAACACTTCTTTACGCGAGCATTGTTCGAAGTAAGGAAGAGGAAGAGGGTGAAGATCAGGGGATCCAGGTAGCAGTAATCGCGAGGGAAAGCATTAGGGGCTGTTTCTGAAGCTTATCGTGGTCGCACAGCGAGAACGGGAAAGCAAGGCGGACTCGAGCCATTCAATTGTTGCGATAACGTCGGGATCCAAGTCAAGACGCATCAGACTCGGCCGGAAACGACCCCATCGAACAGCTTCCTGCCCGTTTAGTCTTCTTCGTTCTTCCGACATAGCAAAACTCCAAACATTTCGATTCGTAGCTTGAAACATAGAAAATTGCCGATTAATTAATAGCAGATCAGAAAAAAGTGAATCGAAGGTAAGAAAGACGTAAAATGGTCGTATCGTTTTTCGTTTTCGCCCAATAACTCTGCCGCGTCCATTAAAGGATAGCCGGTTGCCACCCACGTCATCCCTCTGTACGTCCCTCAATGGTTGGTAGTGTGTCCGTGACAATGGGATCGCGCCGCTTCATGCATAAATGCGACGTAACAATAAACAGAGCCGCGCGAACGTTGGCTACGGGGGTTGCATAGGGGGGTGGCGGCAAGGAGAGACGCTTCAAAGGCCGTGCATAGCCGGAGGATCAGAAACCGATATGAGATTTGGCTATGTATGAATGATGTATCTCGCGACCGCCGCTACTCGCAATCTCTGCCACCCTCTCGCTCGGCACTGCTCTGCTCTGCTCCGTTCGATCCACCGCTAGGAGAAAGGGACAGAATAGGAACACACAGAGGGAGGCTGGAATGTGTTCTATGTTTGTCCATGGATATGTACGGCTATATTGCATATATGTATACCCCAGTTTCACTTGGCAAAGGCGGTCCGAATAGGAAGGGTTTCGCGATCGTTGCCCTCCCTTATACACACCGCCGTAATTGCTTTTAATGGGGAAACGAACAAAATATTTTTACCGAGGGATGTATCCGGCCGATTGTTTTCATCCGACGACAGCTACGATTCGGTGTTGTAATACACTCTGTGGTTTCCCGGAGAACGCACAGTTAGTTGCAAAAGTATTGGCATGAGTTTCATTCCGATTCATTCTATGCTTTTTTAATGAGCATTGACCTGCTGCGTGTGCTTGATATGTCACACAATGTAAGAGTAATCGTTGAAATCTTTTTTGTGTAATCTTAATATTATTGCAAAGTTTACTTCTTTCTTCTTTTCAATTATGTACTCGGTTATACTAGATTTGTGTCAATAATCCTTGTACCAGTCAACGTGTTAAAGAACAAATGAAAATTTCAATTTTATACCTCGTTAATCAGTGAAATAAAGCTTACAGGTGGAACGCGTCAATTAAAATACCACCGTGATGGGTTGTACGCGTATAGAATAGTGCTTCCCGCTCGTATTGGATTTTTTCTTCCGGATCAGGCGGTGCTTCCGGCTCGTGTAAAAAATCAAGGAACGAATGTCATACGTCGTGGAAATAGCAGGAAAAACAGTGACCTGTTCTCTTCTGGTGATTTATCGTTGAAGTTTCACGAAACGAAACATGAATTCCCGATTGTTGTAGCGATGATTCATAGCAATATAAAGCGGGCGCAATAAAATCGCGCAGAAGTTCTGTGGCCCGGGGGTGTAAAAAAAAGATGAAATGAAAAAAAGGAAATCGTGCTGAAAGCTAGTTCTATGAAACTGCCGTGTCATCGTGAAATCGTCCCTGTTGACTACGTCCCCCTTTTTATTTTGTTTGTCTTTTGTTTAGGAGTTTTATAACGGTACTGAATATTAAACGATTTTTTTCTTCTATAGCTGATTATCCAATTAGAAACGCCAAATAAGGTGTCAGCTGTGTACGAGGAGAATGTAACCACTTCAAGGTGTTGGACGATCGTAAACCCTTACAGGTGATGAAGCAGAAGGGATGGGCGGTACTCCAGATCGTTGAATGAGGGGAAGGAGTAGTTGATGGAATATGAGGACTAATCGTAAGTCAAGTATCGAAAGGACTTAACCACCAGAAACCATTGACAAACATTTAATTCTTTTAGGTGCAACCAACTTTGTTCTTTTATATATTTCTCAAGTCCATGACACACTTTTGGCTTTCTATTATTTAAAATTTCACTGGAAACTGTTCAATGGTTATAAAACCTTAGTTGGATGAAGAAATGTTATTTTTGAAAAAGAATCCTGCTCTCGTGAACGTTTGATGAACGACTATTAAAAAGTAATATTTTGAAAGAAGGAAAGTCGATCGTTTCTTTCGACCCTTTTAAGCTTCTGAATTGTTTCCCTTTAATCACAGAGCTTTCTATTGACTCACCCTTTCCGAACCACTTGCATCCAAGTTTTTCATAACAGACGTACTAATGACTTTTCTTTCAATTTTAATTGAAGAGAAAAAGAAGATTTGAAAAAAAAAAATATATGTATATATATTCCTCGTCGACTCGTCCAGTTTACAACGAGTAATATTTTCCACGTTAGCTCGTGGTCGGTTTCAAAATACAGTTTTCCAGCGTTCGCGAAACGATGGAGGCTCCAGAGGGTACTTAGCGCGAATCAACAATATTGCAACGCATTTGTTTACCAGAACACCCTGGCAATATTGGTGGTCCGCGTTTGGACGTCAAATAAAAGCTTCGTCCATGAATTATTTTGCCGGCTAATTTCCCCGGTGGCGCATTGCTTGGACGCAGGCCTGAGGGACGCTTGCGGAACGCTCGGACGTCACCGTCAAACTGACTTTATCAGAGTTAGGCTTGACAATGACCGTGTAAAGCTGTTAATCATGATTAAAGTTATAACGCTGTACCGGTTACGAGCTCAGTTCTACAAACGAAACGGCTTGCGAAATGCGATCAATCGTTTCTTTGTGTAAAACGTGTTATGTAGATGAAAGGATGCGAAAAGAAGAAAAATAAATTTGTTATTCGGAGTGAAAAACAAACGTTTCGTTTTTGTTCCCAGGAATCCCGTTCTCCTTCGTTCTCAAAAATCCGTTTCTGGGTTTTGCTTGTGTCACTGGAGTAGATTCCAAAATAACAAAGCGATTTGACTACGTACAATCGGAACGCTAGCCACGACTGAAAGTCAACAAACAAATGTTTGCCCGTCTAATAATCGACTTCCATAATATGTTGAACCAACCAAAATGTTGAATCTTCCTGTTGTCATGCGTTGATATAGAAATGATTCGATCTTTGATGTTTGTCTTTCTGTCATAAAATGGCATCCGTGTTTTTCTGTCTTCTTTCATTCTTTTACGTTTAACTAATGAAATATGCAGGGGGATTTATTTTATTCACGATGACGCATCAAGTTTTCTTATTTTGTGGCATCTCGTCATCGTTTTAATGCTTCGTTAAATAAGCTGTAAGTCGTGAGGAAGACAATTACTTCTTTTGTGTTTCTTCTCAACTCGTCGATGGGTTTATTAACTTATATTTAAATTACAAAACTTATCGGGTAATAAAAAGGAATTATGTACAAAGTTCGCTTAGCGACGTAAAATTAACCGTAAAAGTAAAGTTCGATTATACTATATCGTGAGGAGGACGTGAGCGATACGTTACTCTGCAGTATGCAAATAAACGTTTAATATCACGTTCGTTGGTCGAATAATTAAGCGATTAATGCACGTGTCACTCGAATTCCAGTCGTTCTATTGCAGGCAATCACGGTCCAATTACACCTGCGATTGCATCAACTCGACAGAAATTATACCGTGATAACATTCTTACTCCCGAGTTCAGTCTAAATCGACAACGAAGAAAATCTGTCTCGTTACGACATGACTTTCCGTTTTCCGCGTCAATCAAGTCTTTTTTATTTCTCTTTCCTTTATCGATCTTCTCTTTGATTATTGAGAGATCACGGATTATCTCTGCCACAGACTTTTCTCCATAATGAGTCGTACGATCAACGACAAAGCCATGAGGAAAACGATTACTCCTGCTCCAACGAGAATGGCACCGTATTCTGTAAAAGAAATTCAATCGTTTCGTTCTACAATGTGTAATTTCATTCAACGCAGATGTAAACGAAGATACGGCGCGTGATATTTTCGATAGAATAACATTTTTCATGAAGCCGCAGCTCGTAATTAACGTTTTCATTGTTAATTGTGAAAAATGATGTAATATCGCGGTACAAGAGTTTGCATTTTCCACTTTTGATTCCGTAATTGGCAAATTCGAACGTATTTTTTTCCTTCGTAACGAGAGAAATTACATTGGTTTGCCGGTAATTTTAAATAACGAATTAAATTTCACGACCAGGTGAGAAAGGCGAGCTTTGTTTCATGAAAAGAAAAAAATAAATAAATGCGCATGATATTACTACATACTCTGAAGCCAGACGTTGTATCTGCTCGCGTTACACTCGTTTGTTACAATAAAAAAGCTTGTCGGTAATGAATGTCCAGAGGGTCGAATTATGAGGCAGCTGAAAAGCGTGTAGCGTTAAAGATCTCGTTACCCGCGTTCCGCGTATTTGGAATGGATGGAAAATTTCAGTGAAACGCGTAGCATTTTTCCTCTGCACTTTGCATTCAAACAAATTCGTTACCCGTTGTCCTCGTCCTGGGTAAAACGATTTCCAAGAACGAAACTCTCGACAACCGACTGCGAATCACAAAATAAACATGCCTTTTCTTTCCAGTCACTACTGAAAATGATTATCGCCAATTGTCGCGTTGCTCCTGTTACATGAAAACACCTATACACCATTATGAATTGAAGAAATTTTCACGTGAACGTGAATTAAATATAATTGCTCCATACTAAATACGAACTAACTGAATAAAGTTGTTAATGATTGTTAATGATCAATTCTAAGGTCTCAAAGATTCCAAACGTATTAGAAATGAAAAGCATTTGAAAACGTAGGAAAATAATTAGAGTGAAAAGGATTTAACGAATAAAAGCACTTACTGCGTGTCTTTCCTTGGCTATCTTTGCTGATCGAGATGTTGTCGGAGAACGGCAGATTGCTGTGCGAGAACAGAGATCTGTGAGAGCCGAACATGAACAACCGACAGGACATTAAAGGCATCGGGATTGACGTGTGCTGACTATCCGTTCCCTCGGGATGGAAACACGAGCCCGACGTTTGGAAGGATGCCAACGGCACCTCGGTCTGCCTGCACGGTGTGCTGGTGCACGCGGAATACGGAATCGCCGAAAAGTCGTACGTCCAACCGATGTGATTCGGCGGAACGATATCCGAGTAAGGTGGAGGATCGTCGTCGGTGGCGTGGTCGACCGGCGTGTTCGGCAAGGTGATCGGTACGCTCGACGGATCTCGCGACGTGCTCGCCGCGGTTGATTCTGTTGCTGGCTCTTCCTGCAGTAATTTCGAGGAGGGCAACATTTTTCTGATCGATTCTTTGGAAACGTTTCTAATAAAATCACATTCTTTAAAAAGAATGATTGTCTCTAGTCGATTCTTTGCCACTCATTGACGATCTGAAACAGAAATAATTCCAAGGTTAAATAACGTTCACCGGATGTTGTTCATGGAAATTGTGTCAGTTTCATTGATTTTAATTAGCACTAGATTTTTATATATGGAGAAACAGCAAATGGCAATAGTCATGACGATCATAACAAACTGAGAGCATTTAAATAAACGCGTGTTAATTGATTCTACAATCAATTACGTTCTTATGTAGCAAAGAGAAGCGGGAAATTACGTCTGCCTCGAGCAACAACCAGGATTAAAGATATCAGTTCGTAACGCAAATAATAAACTAGTTCCGAGATAGCCGAGTATGCTAAATAAAGTGTCTTCTTAAAACTAGAAACCTTTTTATCTTGTTGACAAGAATATCTCGGTTCGAACAAACAAGCGTAAGAAATCTAAGAATGGCGTACTTCCTGGTCGAAGTGAATGATTGACCCGCGTGAATTTAAGCGTGACAAGTAGGAAATAGCGTAGCTTGAATCAGCAAAGAGGAACTAGATACATACGGAGAATAATTTACAAGACTTTTCTGAAAAATACAACTCGACCGAATGGTTGTATTTCATTTCGAACACGCAAACGCAATATCTCGATAAACGAGGTTATTTAATCAAATAGTTACGGTCTGCTGGATAGTTTCAAAGTTAGCCTCCCCCCATCGTTACGCGCGATTTCACTTGCAAATACGAATTCAATTAAAGAAACTATCGACTGTTATATTATTGTGATACGATTCGTGCATCGCAAAGAACCAAGCACTTTCGTTGCACGTTACCGTTCCGGTTTAAAGAGAAAGAAAGAACTTTTCATCGTTCGATTCATGCACGCTGACGTCCGTGCCTGGAAATACCAAAACAATATTTTTCTTTTCCCCTCCTTTCTCTGCATTTCGTCACGAACCATAACGTGTATTTAATATGCAAATACACCTTTTCATAATATGTTTGCTTCGGAGTATATTGAAAAATATTATTCTCCTTATTACAAACACATAAACAGCCGTAGCCTACTAATTAAACATTCGAACGTGACTGAAACCGTTGAACTCGTTAGATTGTCCCGAATCGCTTTCTCTTCGTTCGAACATACCTCATTAGACTAGGATCGACCTTTGTTTCAAGGCGTTTATTTACGTGTAACAAGATAGGTAAAAATAAAGAAAAAGAAATGACGCATTGAATAACCTCGAAACCGTGACACGATGTTCGCCTCGTTCTGAAAAGATCAGAGCCTAATAAATACGAGGAAGAAAAATATCTGACTCCATGGTCAGTGGGAATACGCTTCAGGTACAGTCGCGTTTAAATAAAATAAAGAATACAAGACGAAGAAAGGAGGGTTAATTGGTGCTCGATCATTAAAGAGTGGCTCATTTCACGTTTGAATTTCACTTAAACGAGAAATGGACAGCTATTCGTTCCGTCGGTATAAATGAAAGTTAATACGCAAGATGCATGTAGTCCGGAACGAACGCTCGTTCGCTCACTCATCGACTTGTGTAATTCGCCTACCAGTCGTCTTTATGTGGTCCAATGTCAAGGAGAGTTGAATGAACCCGAAAGTAGCAGGAGAAGGACCTGCTGCTTTCGTCTCTGAAGGACGCTCATTTTACGAGTCACACATCCAGTTATTTTTTTATTCTTTTTCTATATTCAGATGCTTCGAAACATTCTTCCTTCGAAAATAATTCTGATTCTTCAGAGATCTAAAACAGACGACCTCAACAACAAAGTAAGAAGCTTCTACGACGTAATCATATTATTTATAATAGGTCGCTGCAATAATTGCCGACTACTCGCAACACAATTTTCTCGAAGAAAAAACTCGATCGACAGTTTTACATGTGTGATTCATTTCGAATAAACGTACCAATCAGCGAGGAAAGAATCCGATGCAGCTGAATGCACAAATCTACTGAAAAAAGTCCAAATGATCAGTGCACTTGAAAAATTGATTAAAAATCACAATTCATAAAGCACGTGTCTAATAAGTTCCCAGTTCACTTGAGTTGCACGATGGTGTAAATGAGCGCGCAACTGGTTCAACGTGGCGGACACATTTAGCAAACACTCGTGGCACGATCAACAGGTAGCAATCGTTAGACCGCGTGTTTCCGGCCCGGAAGTTGGAGGAAAGAACGCGAACGATCGAAGTCTTTTCAACCGATCGGTGGTCGATTTGCCGGAAAAAGCTGGTCGGTCAGTCAATCACTAGGCACTGAGGAGACAACTACCAGCGAGCCTCGAATCGCCTGTGCAACCACCTTTCCCGGTGGCCTCGCAGCATTTCTCCATGCCGAGCGACCACGATACTCCGCGATATTTCCCGTTCGTGATCTGAGTAACGATTAACAACGTTCGCCACGTGTAAACAACGGGACGATACGCAAAAGCTCAATGGTGATAAGAGAACGGCTGCTGGTGTGGTGCTCGCGAGACGCGGTACACGAGTGATCGTTCGCCGGACGTCTCCGCTTCGGTCAATCGGGCGTTCATAGCTACCACCTCCGTCTGACCATCCTACGAGAATGTCGAGGACGTTGTGCGTTCAAGGTCGCAGGCACATTGCCTTTCGTCAGCGTCGTTTGAAGCGCGAGAGATTAGAGAAATCCTGACTTGGTTCTTATTCTTTGGACTTTTTACTTCATCTTTTTACTTCACCTTGAACTACTCTGTTCTCCAGTTTTTTAATTATTCATCCTCCCAATGATCATCGAGTTAACGAAGCGATTGGTTGTATTGGAAGGTGATCTTGACGAACGATAATGTCGCAAGGTGTCGAACCTCGTTACCTACTAAAAAACACGTTCGTATGCAGTTAGTGTCGCTGGAAACTTTCTCTGCGCGATCGCACGGTGATCAAGCGCCGAATTCGACTCACGGGACAAAGTGCAGTGTTGTAAATCTTACTCGATCGTTTCGTGGCTTCCGTCTGCAAGGGCGTCCGCTTCTATTTCAAGACTCCGTGTTTGCAATGTTAAAACGTTTTTCAGATGCCTTCGCATCTCCGCTATCTTGGACGTACCGACAACGCGAAGGGGTTATCTGCACGTCGGGACCGTGAAATATCTTTATTCTTTGTCCCATTTGTTCGATTCACTGCAGCGTTCGGCAGTTAAGAAATCTGGAATTATGTAATTGTGGTAATCGTCGTGTCAGCTCGATCGGACGAGCGTCACGTTCGGACACGTATTAATTTATCGCCGCTGCGAGAAAATGGATCGAGGTCAGTGCTTAATTTGACACACATCCGCGCGATTAGTCAAGGAAAACCTCCATCGCGTGCCGTACGATCGTCAACTATCGTGCACGTATCTTTTTATGTATTCGCTAATCATCATTAGTTAATGTAAAACTTCGAATTTAACGAGATGACCGTCCCATTTTCGCGTTTTTCCACACGGCTGCAAACGCGAAAATATCTATCGGAGAAATAGAAACTATTCAACTTTGACCTTTTTACCATATCAGACGGTTGACTTCCGCGATCCGTGTCTATAAATCAAGATCCGACGAGACAATGCTATATACCGAACAATCTACTTTCATATGTTTTCGCAGTAGGAGGGAAATTTTATCGCAAACGGGTCAGATCTTGAGATGGAAAGTATGCGGTACACGTAACAGCACGAATGGTGTTCGCGCAAACGCGAGCGTATGCGGAATACGATACGCGCGATCGAGTCCACTTGCAAATGCTGTCGTCTTGGTCCAGCGGGCTGCACTGAAAATTAAAATGACTCGAGAACGGATGCGTCTGTTTCCTCAGTCGACGTCGTTACGAATTACAATGAACTACTGCTCGGTGCACGTGTCCTGACGGAAAATATCTTCAGCTATTTACATTCTTGAACCAATGAATATACCTGGATATTTTCTTGTGACGACATTTTGCGCAACCTTCGTTCTCTTATGTAAAAATAGCTTTGTTATGGTTGAATTCTGTTTTCGTAAAACATTACGATTTAAATATTTTTGGCCCAAGTTTCAGAAATGGCAATACAAAATAAAAGGAAATAATATTTTCTGTAAAATTCCTCTCATTTCTGTCCTCCATTCTATTAGATAATATTTTATACTAAAAAGCTAGATTTAAAGCTACGAGTACGTAAAGATTTCCGGAAATATTTCCTGAAGAGCAACGACACCGTTTCATGGTACGAAATGAAACTTGTAGCCCAGTTATGCGTACCGCATTAAAACAATGATCGCGGGACGAACCTTCGTCCATTGGCACAGTTTCTCAGACGATTTCTCACTTTTACTGCGGCCGTGTGATAGCCTGCACGTTCGTTACGTAGAGGAGAAGGGAAACAGAAAGATAGTCGGTCATAAAGGTAGGTTACTACTGGATCTACGATGGCTACAACGCTTCCGTGTAAAGTCACTCTCTCGCTTCCTGCTGCTATCTCTTACGCAGAGATGCATTTCGTGTCTTTCTAACAACGGTGCACTTTCATTTGAAATGAAACTTTGTGAGTTTATAAAGCGATTCGAGACAAGAATAGCGGTACACCTGGTTGTTGCCTAATAGTTCTTTAAGAGTGTAAAGACTAATTTCAAAGTTATTTTCATTTCCCACGCACGACTTCTAAAGAAGATTTCTGTAGTATTATACCTAGTTGTACTTTAATAATTATACAAAAAGAAAGATTTTTAATTCTCCCTTTGGAACGGTCACGTCAAGGAAGCTGATCAAATCCACCGAACTCGGGATCGAGAACGTGTCAAGTGAAAGTTACGCAAACATTTATGTAATACGTTACAAAATGAAACTCACCGGCAGACAGTTACGCCGCTTCTTGTTCGTAATCGATGAAAAAGCCTCCTGTTACGTGCAGCTGCGTGCATTTCTTACCGGCTGACATTTCCACCAGCGCAGCGTCTCGATTGTGTTTGTTGCTTACATGAAACGTATAGAGTTTGAAACGTTTAACTCTGAAACTTGCCAAGTAATATCATAAACCACCGACCTTTGGACGATACACTGTTTCTAAGTTTCCAGGAACTCGTAGCCTTCTACATTCGGAATTTAGGTCGAGCCAATGGAAATCCGTTTTCTTTCCGCTTCGATGCTACCGTTGGTCCGTACCTCGGACAAAATTAATCTTACTTCGAATAAATCATCGTTTCCTGGCTAGAGGAGAACAGAGTCCGGCGGATCGTCTTTGTTGCAAGGTTGGAAATCGTAAGATTGGTATCGCGACACTCCCTCGGCGTTACCGGTGGCGTAGTCGTTGTTGTCTTTTATTTCGAGGCAAATTAACGACGAACGGGCAAGTAATTGTCGGCGGCGTTAAACCGCCACGGAACGTAATTACGCGGGGACAAAGCAACGGCAAGAGTAAATACGGAGATGCAGGAGAGGGGAGAACGAATTTGTCACGGTGGTTTCGGGGCTCGACGAAACTTCTTCCACGTGGCTTTCGTCGAACCCTCGGCACCGAGCTAAACCGTCAAGTTTTCGAACTTCGTTGCGCTTTGCCGGTGATGGGCTGCCCGATAACGAGCACAACGAACGTTGCATAATTTTAATTGGATGTTTTGTCCGACACCCGCTAACGGGATTACGTGTCAGGAATGATTTTATCTGAACGTTCGCTTTTTAACGAGTTCCGCCAATTCTATGACTAGTTTCATCGACATCGGTGATTTGGAAAGTTCGAAAAATTTCGATGAGACATGTATTTCATTGCGAATTACGTTTCAAGGGAGATACTTCGTGACATGACATGGCATTGTAACAATGCAACCACGAACTGATTGCAATGCCTTTTAATCGTTTAAATATTTGTCGTTAAATTCTACCGATAATTGTTTTGTTTCGGACGGCACGTTTTGTATAACACCATTGATTGCGCAATGAACAACGACTCGAAACTGCATCTTCTGCGTAATTCAGTTTATAATGCAACGTCTAACTTTCACCGATGCCTGAAAGTACTACTTACACGGAAGAAGATAATTCTCACTCAGCGTGTGGAAAACGCTCGTCAAATAATATGGGATATTAATTTCCACACACGATAATGCGACTTCTGTAGCGAATAGGATTGTACGCCATTCCAGTAAAATTTGCTTTATTAAATCACTACCTATCCGCGAAGCCATTGCAACAAAAGTGTTGCTTTCTTCTTTCCTCTTTCCTCTTTCATGGAACATCTTCAAAACATTGAATCACATTTTGTAATATAACAGCTTAGTACTGTGTTTCATTTCCATTTGGTTTATTAGATGTTAGAGAAAGTTCTTCGGGCTTTTCTCCCGGAAATCTATTCATTCTTGCATAATGCAAGATATTACTGTTGCTATTCAAGATAGTCCCCATCGTTTAAAAAATTTCAATCTCGAGTTAATCCACTATACCACGGACGATAATTTCAAATACGTTAAACGCATTAAAGAAACATATTCAATGACTAAAGAGCCCTCATTCGCTGGATTTAGATATCAAGAGAAGCAAATTGTTATTCCCTGGATATTTCTGTTACCCCTAAACAGAGCTCAAAAAGCAACAGTGCACTCAGACCGCTAAGAAACGTTCTGTACACAGAGTAATTAACCGCGAGTAATTACTCGTTCCACGAATATGACGAAATAGCAACGGCGAGGAGCGTGCAGCCCCGAAAGTCCTAACGATCGCGAGATGCACTTATTTCGGGAGAATTAACGATTGTGGTACAGTGAAAAGGGACGAGAGAGGGGATAGAGGGTCGGGTATGCAATTTAATCGTCGTGAATTAAGCGCCTGGGGACGTAATTACGCGTAGAACAAAGCACTGGCCCTGCAGTCCGCGGCGAAGTAAATACGGAAATATAATGGTATAAATTTGTCGCGAGCTCGCAACGCTGCATCCGTTATCGGCGCGCATTGCCAGGGCCCCTGCACCGACTACAGGTGGGGCTCGCGAGTGCAATTTAAAAGTCCATTTGTTTCTGGATAACGTCAGGAAACGCCGACGCCACCGGTACACGAATTTTACCTGAAAAATATTGTACATGAAAATGGTGTACGTGGTAATACGTAATCGGCTCGTTGCATCCGTGAACGATGAGTTAAAAACGGTGCCCTCGAGAAGAGAAAAAACAAACAGAAAGGACGAAGAATTTTGCGATACCCTGTTCCGTTCTTACTAGACTCCAAGATCCAAGAAATATGAAAGCGACGAATGAATATTCATAGTATTAAAATTAGACTAGAAACACGCTTGTTTGTTTATTCTTTCTATATCGATTTTTTAGAAATTTATTTCGAGAAGTAAAAAATTCTTCTTCGCTTTATTTATAATTTAAACAGTCGCGTTGGAACTTAGACACACGTGTATACATATCGCATATGATCATTGGTTACGTACTCTGAAATCAACTTCGTAGAAAATCCATGAACGTCCAAGTTAATGTATGAATACCTTGCTTCGAGTGGCAATCAAATAAACCATCTTGAATCACCTTGTTCTTGCCGTGTTACTTGCCAATTAAGGAAATTATTATTGATTCCAGTGGCACAAGGTGTCACATTAAAATCGATTCTTCCATACATTACAGATCACGGTTTATCCGAAGCAGTAATTTTTTACGTCAATGGGACGTTGATTTGGTATAACGAAAAACCTGTTACACATGCGTTCAACGTCAGATCATGAATAATCGAACCGGTCATTTTATTTCTGTTTTTTGGAATATTTCAAACATTTTCGATTTATCCGTTCCATTTTATTTCCAGACACCCGAAAAAATTGAGTGAATCACGCGAGTCTCCGCAACCAGACGTAGAGGTCGTCGCAAAACGGGTTTTATATATTCAAGGACGAATCATGCTAGGATCAGTAAAGGAACTTATTATTCTTCCAGTATCCACAGTGAGTCACTCAATTCGACCACCTCAAATTATTTTCAAAACGTTCCAAAGAAATGTTGCGATGCCTTTGATCGTGCATAACGTACACGCTACCATTTTGCTCGCGAGCTTGCAGAATGCGGTTTGGGTGCCGGAAATTGCAAGACGTGAATTTACTACCTTGCCCTTCGACAGTTTGACTGAGTACACTTTCTGGTAGAACGCGTCAGGCGATCAGCTAGTGTGTAAGGTCTCCTTGCAAAATAATCGAGAAAACTCGTGGCGAAAGTAAGACGGTTGTTAAGCGTAAAATTCCTATGAACCATGTTTCTGTAAAATTTCAAAGTCCCGCGCAATTTAAAAGAGAAGACCTTGATGAATCATACGCAACGATCTTCGCCGCACTGTCCTTAAGGATTTCGCAAATATTCTACGTAAACAAGCGTTCGTATTAATTTCACGGT